GCAGTAATTTGAGCTGATCTATAGGAAGTGTTGCACGAGGCTAGTTCAATGTTTAGCTTACTTCTACATGTGCGTGGGGTGAGCGTGTTGCCAAGGATCTGAGGTCGACAGGCTTAATTATACTCGGCAATAATAGAGAGGGGATATTCTTCGTCCCCAATAGATGCAGAAGGGCGGCATTAGCTATTGCAAAGCTCTACACTGATGAGAAAAAGACGGAAAGGATTGCCTACGAGTTTTTACTCGAATTGCGAGATGAGCGTTTCAAGGAATCTTTCAGCTTTTTTTCGAGTCGGCGAGAGTGGCGTTTACGCTCATGTGGAGTGTGTGCTCTTAGAAAGACCGTTGAGTGAAGGTAGACAATTGACGTGTTCAGTGGCAGTGGTAGAATGAAGGTGGCGTACTTCAGTATATGTGTGACAGCTAACGTGGTTTCTGGCTAGGCACATCAGAACAGTTTGAAAAACTTGGCCTGATGTTTATCAAATATTATGGTTTAGATACGTTGGCATGTAACGGTATACGTCACATCGCTCGCCAAACGACAAGGCCACAATTTCTATCTCCTATTCCTATTCCTAGCATTGCAGGTGATTTTAAACGTTTTTCTTTACAGAAGCACAAGTATCTATATCGACGGACCGGAACGGAAGCCATCGTTCTCGTCTGCGATCGCAGTATGCCACGGCCCTCGTGAGTAAACGCTTGTCGTTGGTTAATGTATAGTATGTACGATAATATGTGCATGAGCATGTAGCATGTACGATATTTGTACTGTGAGCATGGTATTATGTACGATTATATGTGCATAGCATGGTAGATGTACGATATATGTGCATGAGCCATGGTAGTAATACTGTACGATATATGTCGCCATCGAGCATGGATAGCATGTACGATTATGTACATGAGCATGTAGCTGTCACGGAATATATGTGCAATGAGCATAGCAGCATGTACGTATATGTGCGTGAGCATGGTAGCATGTAGATACTATGTGCATGAGCATGGCCTAGGCATGCACGATATATGTGCGTGAGCATGGTAGCATGTACGATATGATGTGGTGTGCAGCATGGTAGCATTAACGATATATGTGCATGAGACATGGTAGCATGTACGAACTATATGTTGCGTGAGCATGTAGCATGTCGATATATGTGCGATGAGCATGCCAGCATGTACGATATATGTGCGTGGCATGGTAGCCATGTACGTATTATGTTAGCATGAGCAGGTAGCATGTACGATATATGTGCATGGAGCATGGTAGCAATGTAGATATACTGTACCATGAGCATGGTAGCAAAACCAATATATCGATATAGCGACCTATACTGCCTTGCATGGAGAACGGAATAGCTAGGTTCTATCTGTAGCCAACAGGGCACACATACATATGCACTGCCATATAGTAGATAGCGGAGATGCGGTTATGCCATCTAGATATAACTATATATATGCTATATTATATATAGAATAATAAAAAATATATATATAGATAAGAAAAAATCTATAAAATTAATAAAAAACTAATAATATAATAAATAATGAATACAAATATTTATGTAGACTTTGAATAAATAAAAATTAAATATATGAAATATAAAATATAACTATTACGATACCGATACTATAATATACAATATATAGGAATATAAAGATCAAATATAAAGATGTAATCATATAGACATCGACAACGCATTAGATCTCACAGAGGAGAGACTTATTATTTAATACAATATTTTCATAATAACACAGATATCATAAGAATACATAATGTGAATAGCAAAAAGAAAAAGTAGAAAATATAGATGACAGAACTGATCGAGATGATTTATATCGTTAAACTATTCAGATTGTAATCAAATATACACACTATGAGGTCTATGTAGTTCAAAGAGACAACATGAAAAATAAACAAACAAAATACTATAGGTCCCCATTCCCATTTAGATAAATCAGGAAAGAACGCGGACAATTTAGTTGATAGAGAGATAGACAGAAATAATAGATTATAAGATGTAGAAAAAAAAACGTACACGCTGTATGATGACTTTTAAAGAATAGACGAATTATAGACA